AAGCATCCACAGGGAGAAGGGAAGTTCAGAATGACCCAGGACAGCCCTGAAGCCCAAGGAGATGGAATATTGACTTGATCCTCTGGGAAATGGGAAGCTATTTGGTTTGTATCCCTGTCCTACTTCTTTGCCCCATGATATTGTAGCTCTGTCAGGCCATACTGGTTGTTTATTTATGTATTTTATTTAATTTTTAAATTTTTTAAATAATGGAGACAGGGTCTTGCTCTTGCTCAGGCTGGTCTCAAACTCCTGACCTCAAGCAATCCTCCTGCCTCAGCCTCCCAGAGTGCTAGGATTATAGGCGTGAGCCACTGTGCCTGGCCCATACTGGTTGCTTATAGCCAACATCTATTCTGATTGTTCATTAGTCCATTCTCATTGATCAGTGCTCAGGATATACTGCTGTTAAATATTTTTAATATCACCCTTGCCTACCTCATCAGATTGTTGTAAGGTTGGTTAATTAATATAATGTATGCAATATGCCTGGCACATGCTAGGTACTCAATAAATGAGATCAGGGATCATGTTTGATGTTCCAGTATGTGGCCTGGATATATGGGGATCTCAGCACAAGCCCATGAAGATCCCTGAGAAGTCGCTAAGGAAGGTACCTGAAGCCGCTGAGGCCCATTCCAACCCACAGACATCATGATCCTTATCAAACCTCAGTTACTTCCCAATACCACACATATTCCCAGGAAACAACTGAGAAACCCCAGCTGGACCCAGGAACTTTCCCTTTTATTCTCATCGATCTTTTGAGATCAGACCTACTGTGGTGGCTTATGGCAGGCCACACCCTCAAGATGGTGCTAATAGGAGCAGGTAGTAGAGGACAGTGAGCTCAGACCACCTGGGGTCTTCCTTTGTTTTTTTTTTTTTTTTTAAACAAGGCTTTGGACCCTAGTGCTTAGAGCTTGGGTCTAGACTCACAGTTTTCTCCAAACTAGAATTATGGATGGCCTTAATGCCCACCGTTTGTCCAGCTCCACAGCCTGGCACTCCCTGTTTGTCGTCAGTTCACAGGAAAGTGGCTATGAGAGTTACAAAAGCACAGATTGTTCACCAATGTGACTTGCTCAGCGATGTGTCTCTAGCACCCAGCACAGTGTCATGCATAAAGGAACATGCAATAAATATTTGTTGAATGAATGAATGAATGAATGAATGATTCTTTCTCAGTTGGTGCCTCAAGAAGTCTTCTTTCCTCCCTTCCTTCAGAGCCCATTGTGGCTTTGCCAGCCTCCTGGACTCCAACAGTGCTTACCATTTATGCCCGTCCTTTGGCAACTAGCCAAACTCAGTTCAATTCAACTAACTTCCATGGAGCTGCACTATTGGCAGGAAGCACTCACAGTCTCAAGGAATGGCAAAAGCCTTTCCTAGTCCTTGGCGCCTCAACTGTACTTTTAAAACAACCTTGGCATGGAACAGAACCTTTCCAAAGAGTTTTTGAACGTCTAAAGACATGATTATAAATTACTTGCCATTTGTCAACACACTTCACTACCATGTTGGAAATAAGTGAGTTCCAGATGATAGATAAGCAGATGATTATTTGACAGGTGTGGGGCAGGTGTGGAATGGGGGTGGAAGGGGGAGGAGGAATGAGAACCAACGTCTGTCTGGTGGATTTGCAGTTTTATTGATTGTAGTAGGGAAAGGGGTTGGCATCTCAGCCATTCAGGGCTGGCCTGGGACGGGGATTTAAAGGGATGTCCAGCAGCCCCTGGTGTGAACAGGAATCCAGAATCCCCACACACACCTGTTTTTTCTTTGGAGCGTTGGGCCTTTCTAAATTTTATGACTATTCTCCATTTCTGTTTCCACCCCCTTCTACGCATCTACCACTCCCCACGTCAGTCTTTGGTAAAGTAGTAATTTGCTTTTTCTCTGGCAATGATTTCTTTTAATGGAATTAGAAGTAACCTTGTATGTGTTCACTAAAACATTATTTTTAATAGCAAAAACCTAGAAATAACAGAAATCTTATAATAAGGGCAAATTTAAATAAATTATGGTAGATCCGTAGTCTGGAATACTATGTGGACAATAAAATAATGTTATAGAAACATAGTAAGTGACATGGGAAAAGTTGGTAACATGTTGTTAAGTGAAAATGACAAGCCACGAAACAATGAGTGTGTCTGTGTGTGTGTGTGTGTGGCACGCATGTGCACTATTGGTGATATTTTTTATTGGTCTTTTTCTGTGTGTTTCAAGATTCTGCATTGAATGCTGTGATGTGAGTTAGAGTACAGTCAGGAGGGGTGCATTGTGAAGAATCTGAGAGCACAAACAGGGAAGTCAGGCAAGACTTCCTTTAGTCAGTGAATTTTGAAGATGGTGAAAGGCACAGAGTTTTGGAGAGGAACTCCAGGAATATGCTGTTTTTCAAAATCACAGGGAAGGAGATGGTATCTATTGGTGGTGAGGACTTGAGGCCCACCAAAGAAGACTGAACTCCATTAAAGAAACAACAAGGAGCATCTCTGGGTTTCTGAATATAGGGGCGAATTGATGGAAATGGTGTTGGAGGAGAATTATGCCAGCCATAGCGTGGTGGATTGGGCTGGAGGCAGGGAGATCTGCCAGGAGACTCTCAGTTTGCACATTTGACCTGAGGTAATGAGAGCTTGGATTAAGCTTGTGGCAATAAAACCAGAAAGGAAGGAGCGGATGGATCTGAGGGACGCTACGAAGAATCTGAGCTAGAGATTCAAATTTGGCTAAATATATACCAGGTGGCAGGTGAATTCATGTAAGGAGAGACTTTCCAAGGAAATGGGTTTGAAGAGAGACTAGCTGAGGATTGAGACTTCAGGAATTCCAACAGTTAATGGCAGGAGGAAAGAAAAGGAGCCAGCAAAGGAGACAGAGAATGATGGTCAGAGAGATAAGAAGAGAAACTTGAGAATGCAATGCCATGAGAGCCAAGGGTAGGACAGTTACAGGAAGGAGTAGGTGGTTAATGGTATCAAATTCATCCTCAAGGTCAAAGATGCAAACTGAGCAGAGACCCTTGAATTTGGCCAGGAGGTCACTGGGGTACTTACAGAGAGCAGTTTTGGCAGAAAGCACTAGACTCTAGAAGGTTCAAGAGGAGGGGGGGGAAATGGAGGTAGCTCATGGATACCACCCATGTGACAAGAGTAATGTGTTAGGACTGAGAAGAGCAAGCAAATTTTATAATTCCAGTCCTGCCACTTAACCACTCTGAACATCAGTTTCCTCTTCTGAAAACAGGAATAATTGTACTATCTCATTAGGCTGTTGAAAAGTAAAAGACAAATTTAAATGATTATTTTTATGCTATACTGAAGGGGCTGCTTCTTCCCTCTTCCTCCAAAAGAAAAATCCCTGGGTATTTCTGGGCATGTTTTGACAAATACAAAAAGTCTCCTAGCTCAACAGTTATATCCCTAGGTTGATACTGCTTTGAAAATTCCCTAGCTGTATCCTCTGACACTCCTCATGCCAAGTCACTTCCCTGAGCCCCTCTGACGTGAGAACATGGAGGCAAGGTGATTAGGAGGGAGCTAGTGTCAGGGTCATATGGAATGTCTCTGAGGCCTGTTTAGAGGCTGTGAAGCAAGGCTCTGTGTGAGACCCTGGATGCAGTTTGGTGCCAACTTCACCTCAACACACAGAAGGCCGCAGCCCCCAAGTGAATGGTGGGCTGAGGAAGATGTACCAGAAAACCTTCCTTTTTTTTAAACCCATGGCACCCGCAGATTGAATGGCCCCTGGACTGAATGATTTTGAAGCAGCAACTTGGTTTTCAAGGTGTACAGAAAGGCATATGCTTTACTTTCTTTCCTTCTATTCATATTTGGCGACTACATACGAGCAGACCTGGCCAGCGCTACCTCATTTTTTCCCCTCCGTCGCTATCTACTAAGCAACGCTTTTTCTTTGTGAAGCCCGGTCTGTTGCCAGTTTAACATATTCTGGACTGATCTTAGTCTTAGTGCCTTGTTTTCCCCTAAAAGAAGATATTCTCTGAGAAAAATATGGCTGCCCACAAGCCATCATGGCCTAGATCTCTTACCAAGCCCTGGAGGGGCACATATCTATGTGGCCTAACTGGGAGTGGAGTGAGCATATTCTCTAGAACTGGTACTTTTCAGATCCTGAATCTAGACAGTGTAGTCAAAGGGCCTTTTAATGCGCATGCTCCTCTTAGTGGAAGAACTTGGTTTCACTTCTGGTAAGATGGTTTACCCAAGGGAAACAGGGCCACATCATGGATGGTACACTCACAGGCTAAGATGTGTGGCCCCCCTGGAAAAATGTTATAGGAGATTAGGGCACAGGTACTTGCAAGGAGGCTGATATATCATCAGAAACCATTTTGGACAACCTGGGAGTCCTACTTTGCCTTGGCCTTATAGCAAGTACCTGACCACTCAGTCACTGAATTCGGCTTGAACGTCTTCTGAATAAGATGCTTTCCTGGGACTGGGGTGGGGGTGGGGTAAGAGAATGAGGACTAGAAAGATAGGCCGGGGTCCTTGTCTAGGGGAGTAACTCCCTTAAGATGTGGACAAGAGGTCTCAGTTGCCATGCTACGGGAGAGCTGCCGGAAGGCGTCTGTGGTCTTGCTTGAGCGCCCCCGGGCAGGGCCTGTCTTGGGGGACCAGATGCTGTATCAGGGCCAAAGCTGGGCCTGCAGGGCAGGTGGCCAGAACTTGGAAGGAATTCTCTTCCGCAGCCCAGGGTCCAGGCTTGGCCCCAGTAAGCTGCCCCGCCAGCCTCTGCTGCCTGTGGCCTCGCGCATTCCGCGCCTCCGCCCCCTCTGCCCCTCCCCTGGCCTCGCCCCCTCCCTTGTCCCCTTCTCCTCCCCCCACCAGCTGTCCCCTTTCCCCGGAGCGGCGAGACAGCCAGAGCCTGGGAAGAGGCGGCCGCGGGCCCGAGGGGGCGTGGTGGGGAAGGGGAGGAGGACGCGGGTGAGGGGATAAGGAGGCCCGCGGCCGGCGCCCCCAGCCACTGCGCGCCCGCCCGAGAGCCGGGTGCCGCCGCCACCGTCGCCGTCGCGGTCGCCGCGCTCTGCCTGCCTGCCGGCCCGCTCGCTCGCTTCCTCTCGCTGGGGGGGAAAGGTCATCAGCGTCCTGGAGCCACCGTGTCACTCCCCGACAGCCATGAACTGCAGCGAGAGCCAGCGGCTGCGAACCCTCCTGAGCCGCCTGCTGCTCGAGCTGCACCATCGGGGCAACGCCAGCGGCCTGGGCGCCGGCGCCGGCCCGAGTATGGGCATGGGGGTCGTGCCTGACCCCTTCGTGGGCCGCGAGGTGACCAGCGCCAAGGGCGACGACGCCTATCTCTATATCCTGCTCATCATGATCTTCTACGCCTGCCTGGCCGGAGGCCTCATCCTGGCCTACACCCGCTCCCGCAAGCTCGTCGAGGCCAAGGACGAGCCACCCCAGGCCCGCGCCGAGCACGAATGGGCCCCGGGAGGCGCCCCGGCCGCCGACGCTGAGACTGCCGCGGGCTCTCCGGCCGAGGGCCGCCGCCAGCTCGCCCCCGGGGGGCTCCCTGTCCTCACCCAGGGCACCGAGCGGGTCTAGAACCACAGCCCCTGCTTGCTCTCGCGTCCTCCTCTTCTCGCTTAGCCCTGGGCGCAGCTCCCGCCCTTTCCTCCCCTTCCAGGGTTCGCCTCACCTAAGGCCCAGACAATGAGGAGAGGCCAGGAGACCTTGTCTGGAAGCCCCTGGAAGGAGAAGCATCACCCTACCCACTCCTGGCCACTTTCTCCCTCCTCACCCCCACCCCGCACATCCAACTGCACTAAACTGCCTCTGCTCTCTTGTCTTCAGACAGCCCTGACACTATGCTCCAGACCTCTGGGAACTGAATCCAACACGTCCAACACTTGGCATTGAACTGAAGCAATGAAGTCTATCAGAACTCTGGGCCGTCTAACTGGCAGCTGCCCCAGGGGCTGCCAGGGACCTCTCACTCTGCAGAGCCAGCGGGCTTTGCCATCACTGCCAGGCCGGCTGCAGCAGCTCCAGCTTCCCGTTGCCTTAGGGACAGAGACAAAGAAAACGAAGAGACCTCAGACATCTTTTCCCTCCCTCTCTCTTTCAGCAGGGAGCTAGCAGGACACTAGGTCCAGTCTGTGGGATAGAATGGATTTAATGGGGACTGAAGGGGGGCGGGGAGGCTCAGCAGGGGGAAGATCTATGAACCCAACTGTATGGTTTTCTTGTCTCCTCAGTTGTCATCCCAAAGGTAACTTGCCTGATTTTTTTTAGTAGCTTTGCCATCTTCTTCTGTGGGTAAACATTACTGGGTGTATCACCCCAATACTTCCAAATGCCTCTTCTAAACTGATTCAGTTGTTATCACAGTGTCTGCTCCATCCATGGAGCATGAGGCTCCGATGTCCCCTGCTCTGTAACCCTGGGAATGTCAGAGGCAGGTAATAAAGGTTGTTTAAACAATAACCTAAGACTCTTTTCTCAAAGACCTCAGCCTTGAGACCCAGTAACATATACAGAAGAAATTCTTTTTCACTTTTGGAAATGATGTTTCGATTTGGAGATTGGGTTGTTATGATATCTGTATGGATTTATCCAGTTCCGATTCAATAGGTGTGATTGTGAGTGAAGAAAATGTTTATATGGCAAAGTGGGTTATTTTGTGAAGTGTTTCAAAAGTTATACATGCTTTTTTTACTTCCTCCTCCTTTATTTCTTAATTCTGAAGCACTTTCAAGTATCACAGTGGTAAATAGGATTTCCCACTTTCCTTTTGTAGTTTTTCAGGATACACCTTAAAAAAAAACAACCTCTCAGGCCTATCACTTTTAGCTATTATCAAAGCTACTTTTTAGAAGCCACCTTAATGACTCAAAAAAGTGGTTTATTAAAAGACAAGGAAGCTACCGGGTAGTGTAAATCTTAAGTCAGAAGGAAGATGCTTGAACTGAGCAATCTTAACAATCATGGATAAAGTTAGAGACGTGTGTTTATTCATTTAGTTTCTTTGGCTTAAGAAGGTTGTCAGAAACTTGCCTGCTTAGGGCTGAAATGCTTATACCTGATGATGGCTGTTTGGGTTTCATCAAACACACATAAAGTTACCTCTTAGAAGTAAGCGAATTTGCTTACATACAGCTGGTTTCTCAGTAATAGCAGACAGAGATATTACCAGTCACTTAAATGTATTGGTAATATATAAACCTCATTCAAGGCATCGGTTTTGACCTTCCAGCCCATCTGGCATTTTACTGGAGCTATTAATAAGTGAAATGGACTTACTTTCATCCCCAGGATTCGCTTCTTGAAGCTATACTGGCCTTGCCCCGTTGGCACATCTCCAGTTCTAGTTCCAGCCCTGAGGTCGCCCCCTCTCCTTGAAGGTGGGGGCCAGGGATGGGGGAGTAGTCCAAGACAATGGCAGAAAGAGAAAGGTTGCTGTGAGAGCCATCTCAGCCAGGCAGGGGGGCCTGAGAGGGGTGTGGAGGGGGTGCACAATATACAGGGATTCTGGGGACACGTTGGGGGGGCAGTCCCCAGCCCTGTGTTTTTAATGCAATATCACTCATTTATCAGGCATGATGGGATTCACAAGGTTATTTTGATAATGAAGCGTAATCAGGGCTTTAAAGTGTTCAAACTTCGTAAACACATTTGTACCATGTTTTCGATAGATATTCAAAAGAGCATATTGCCAAAAGTAAAATAAAGGAAGCTGGGAGCAGTTGGGATAATTCCCATGATAAGTATTAATGTGCCAGGTGTGGGAAACAAATCCCATGGCAAAATATTCCTACTTTTAAAAACATGTTAACCTTTTTGTTTTAACGATGACTTAGGGTACCCTTGAAGAACATGTTAGCGAGAGTAGCTATACAACTCTCCCTGTGAGAAAAGTGCACTGGCCTGGGAGAGCGATTTGTTTTACTGCCCAGCTGCTTTTTTCAAACACTTTCAGGGCTGCAACTGTGTCCCAGATAATGAAGTTTCCCAGAAGTCTGGACACTCAACTTTCTACCAGCCAGCGGGGGTGTCAACATTGAAGTGATCCTATTGTGGTCAGCAAAAGATAGAAGAAAGAAAAACTAGATGCTTGGCCAACCCCCAGTTTTGATCATGTAGCCCCGAATAGCTTGAGCTGACTGTACAAATTGGGAAAAATGTTAGCCTTGTCCTTAAGATGATTTCAAAGACCTTAAACATTCTAATAAATTAGAGCGATTCTTTTTTTTACCCCACCCAGTCGTCTATTTCTCCCCTTTGCCTAAGCAGATCCTGTTCCAGTTCGGGTTCATATCTTTGCTCCATAACAACAATGAAGCACAAGACCCTGGCTTCCCTGCTTGTAACCTGAGGCTTTCAACAAAGACACACTAGGAGATGTTTTGAGTTCCAATGTCTGGAAGTGCTCATCGGCATTACAAAAATAAACGGAAGCTTTTCTTCCATTACAGACATATTTCTATGTTGTCGATTTTACTTTTCTAGAGGGACATAAATGGGGTCTTTAATTTGTTTGTAGTTACCATCTTCTCCTTTTTAATTTGCCGTGGCTTTTATAAACCCAAGATCTGCATGTAACTTGTATCAACAAAGAGAAACGGGACTGGGCTGCTTTCCAAACAATCTTGCCTGGCAGCTAAAGCAAATGCACCACGATATTGTAGAGTGAGCGCAGGACCAGAAATCAGGAGGACTGGGGTCCGGCCTTGGCTTTGCCAATTAACGAGCTTTGTTTCTCATGGTGAGCTGTTTCACCTCTTTGGGCCCTAGTCTCCACAGCTGTGGGGATTTGAGGCTCAAGTGAGATAATGTATGGGAAAGGGCCAGGAGAAGCATAGCCGCTGTGGAAGTATAAGGTGTTAAGTTTGTATTTTCCTTTTCCTTCCTTGGGGGAATGCCCTTGGCAGCTGCATAGGGGAGGCAGGAGAAAGAGAAAATTCTCTATTATGTAGATGCTACTCTTATTGCTCGAAGAAGAGGATTGACGATACTTTGCCACGAGCTCCAGGATTTCTGAGCTTATCTCCCCCATGCGCAGAATCTTGGCTGACTAGGAAACTGTGCATAACTTCCTCACCATCCTACTCTTCTCCCCTTTACCTGCAGGCCCACAGTGACCTTTAAAAAAGTATGCCAGCAATACTTTATTTCCTGGTCTCCCCCAGGACTGGAGTCTAGATTTTTGAAGACCCAGGTCCTCAGGCATTGGTACAGGGCATAAGAGAAGGGCAAGAATCAGGAGCCATAAGGGAGCATGACTGGGGACCACCAGAGGTCAGTAGACTAGATTGGTCAATAGCCAAACTAGGTGAACTTGAGCCACTCACCAAAAATGGCCTTGGGAGAGGAAGTTGGATGGGAAGTCACTTTTCAGCCTTTTTGTCACTTAACACAACCTGCAGGCTATCCAGGAAGACAAGTAATATGATTAAGGTAATCCCTCCTTCTGTGCTAGGTCTCAGAGCATGGGACCAGGTGGCCCCAACCAGTCCCCCACTGACTCTGTTTTGAAGGAGGGGAGAGTCAAAGTCAAAGCTGTGGCCTGTGCCCCTTCCTCTGAAGAGAGTGCAGCCAGAACAGATGGGGGATACCTCAGATACATTTTTTAAAATTGTGGTAAAATACACATAATGTAAAACTGACCATCTTAGCCATTTGTTTAAGTGTACAGCTCAGTAGTGTTCAGTACACTCGTGTTATGCCACAGGGTCCTTTTAAGTCAGAGAGAAAGGCAAAACAGCTACATTGCTTTATATAGAAGTGGCAGAGCTTGGTCACTGCTTCAGATGCGCCCCTGCCCCAGGGGTATTCACATTTCATAACAGGTTAGTTTGGCCAACATAAAGGTGAAACCCAAGGAAAGAAACTCTATTGTGGGGTTCAGTGGAATCTGGAAGGAGAGATACCTAGAAATGTCTACATGCGTTGGGGAGGGTACTGAGGAGTGTGCTGTGCTTCCCACAGCTTCTCAATTCACATTCTACTCTTACTGCCAGATGCTCTGGGAACCCTGGGGAGGGCTCAGGTGGCTGTGAATGACTGGATTGCAGTACGAATTTACCGAATTCCCACATACCTGACCCACAAGATGTCCATTCGTGAAAACACCTCAGGTCCCTGGAAGGACAGGAGGCCTTCTCTTAGCTCTGTTTAGGATCTAGTTGTGCTCTAGTAGTGGCTGCAGTTCCAAGCGGGCCTGGTAAGGGAAAGAATGGAGACAAGGGACCTGTTAATTTCCATCCTCCTCTCCTAGGCCACTTCTCTAGGGGTCCTGTGGTCAGGCCCAGCCCTGGTGAAGCTATGGGATTGGTATTTATCTCAATTTTCCCCTTCCTGTTCCGAGCTTCCCCTGCCCCTCAGTCCCAGTATCCCCAAACTGTTCCTTCCTGACTTCCAAAATCTAACAATCTTATTCATTTGCATGTAATCCGTTATTCATCCCAGCAAGGATACAAGAAGTGCATCTTTAATGGTGGCTTTCAGACACTGGGTGAAGGAGAGAGGTACAAAGAGGGGCTTGTCCTAAGACACTCAAATTTGATACGAGTAAGCCTGGCCCTGGCAGTCACAGCATTGTGGTAAGCTCCTCAAGGACAGAATCTTGTTTTTTTCTTTATTCCCACTGTTTCTGGGGGAGTTTGGAAGACCGTAACCTTCAGCCATCTAGGAGGGCACCTGCATTTTCATGCGAGTCTCCTAGTCTTCTAGGGGGATGAGATGGGGAGTGAAGATGGGAGTAACTGGGGCAGCTGGAAGGGGAGAAGCCCTCAGCTTGCTCCCCAGTTAGCGCTCTGTCCACTGGAAGGCGACCTTAGCAAACAGGACCCAGAGAGGAACGGCTGAGGGGAGCGAGGGGTGAAATACTAGGATGGGTCCCCTGAGGATTGCAAGGATGGAATTGTTATCATTTTCCTGCCATCTATCTATAAGTCTACCAAACCACGGCCATAGCCAAATCATAAGCCTTGCTTGGAGGTGGCTGCTCTGAAATCAGCTGGGTTAGTCTCCATCCTGTGTCCTGAGTAACTGGCACCATTTCTTGGAAGTTTGGGCCTTCCCTCTAGCAAGTCCAAGGGCCTGATCAGTTCAAAAGCCCCCACTTTTTCCTTTCTCCATCACCCACTAAAGTAGAAGAGTGTAGGGCACAGGGTGTAGGCTCTAGTGCCAGACTGTCTGGGTCCAAATCTGCGGTCTGTCTTTCACTAGCTGAGTGACATCAGTAAAGTTACCTAACCTTCTCCAAGCCTCCTTTCCTCAGCTGTAAAATGGGTATAATAAGTAGTGCCTACCTCCCCAGGGTCACTGTGAAGATCGAGGAGTTACCACAGTGCCTGGCCCAGGGGACGGGGTCGGTAATGGTACATTCTGTACTTCCCTCTCATCTTGATTTCCAATCCCTCCACCACTACCCCCTGTTCTCCAGGACTGTCTGCCACCCTCTGGCTCCATTTGTCTCATTCCTG